GTGTCACATCGTATGTACATTATTATAAAGTAAATTGACAGTTTTTAGGTAAAGATTGTATTGGATTTAAAAATAACACAATGACGTAACAACTTGGATCGGTCACTGACAAAATAGGTTTTTTAATTGAACACTTCGACTATTAACTTAAAAAACACTTCTTTTTGAATATGCATTATTAATTAAATAATTAACTCCCAATGTAAAGGAGGGAGGTTCTTTCGTCCGTTGGATGAGGGTACCAAAACAAGCCAAGTGAAACTCCAAATTGTTCAGAAGATTTTTATTTTCACCTTGTATGGCGCCAATACAATTTCACCCTATATGCGGGCAGTTGTTCCCAAGAAGGGACTCACTCCTGGAAACTGTTCCGCGAGATAAGGTGAGTATTCACCTTATATGATGGGCAATAATCTTTCACGCTATATAAGCGTACTAAATATGGGAAGATCGGGGTAGCAGTTCCCAAGAAGGGACTCAACTCCTGGTTGCCTTACTGAGCTCTCTGTATTCTCAGATTTCTCTTCACATTAACAAAATTGTGTTCGAGTACTCACCATTCGAGGGAAAATCTTAATAATGCGATTCAGAAATAACGCCAAATGGGTCAATGCCATCTAGCCGATTCTTAGAGAACTAAAAGTGAACAATCTGGCTTAAGGCCGTCTATTACATAAAGTAGGTTTGTTACACCAACATTTTTTTACACAAAATATTATTGAAACAACAAAAATGGTCTACAAGGAGAAAGCAAATGTTTTTGCAGAATTTATTGAAAGATTAAAGGTGATCAAAAATTACAACTTTTAAAAAAATTTGGGAAAATATAATTCTTTTTATTATCATTAATCCGTGAGAGTCGGACTTGCGTGTGATTATATTTTCATTTTTGCTCGTCGCAATTTTGCCACTGTATGAACACTTTGTTGCTGTAGTTTTGACACATTGAAAGTTTACCCTACTTTACCCTAATAGGATCTGGAATAACGGCTGCTCTGTTATATGATACATGTCAAAATTTTTATTAAAATACAAGTACTCTGATGAAATGCAACAAGCAATTAATGATATAAGCAGACCTATGTATGCGTAATCAAAGATACGTGTCCGAAAACTTTCCCAAAATATTAAATTGTGTTCTAATCTAGAGAAAACCTAGGCGTTTAAATTCTGATATAAAACAGTTCAGCTACTCACAGGCCGCATTCCGTATTATTGCAATCCGGAAGGCGGTACGCCAAACAAGAACTTGACATTTGCCTGAATTAACTTTAACGCTCTGGCCATACAGAGGCGGCCGATCGCGGTAGACGCGCGGCCGCCGCCGCGCGTTGTAGCGCTGCATGGTTTATATAAACTCGTACATTACAAAAATTCCCGCGCCCGGAATGCTTCCGCGGCCGCTTTTGTGTCGCCTGAGCATAAATATAAACCAAAGCCTCAAATTCTAATGCATAGAAATATCGCTAATATAAACATAGACAAACTGCGTGAGGATGACAGTGCTGCAGACTGATTACACATTGATCATGTCGGCTCTGTCAATGAACAGGTGCAGCATTTCAAATCTCTGCCTAGTGCAATTATTTTTTGTTTAAGCCCCTGTTCGCCCAGTGTGCATCAAGCATTTTCCAATGCTTGGCTTGATTATGTTATTCGAAATTATATGTATCAAAAATGTATCAAAAATCGAGCCCAGACTGTGTTCGAAGCCGATCCATCTCATGCTAATCGGAAAAAACCACATTAAAATTACTGCTGTGTCGTCACATCAAGAAGTCCGTTAAAAACGGAGATCCAGCAAAAATGCTTAAGATTTTAAAATCTTCAGGTGTTGATAAAACTTAAGAAAGAATAATCCCCAATGAACCTTAATCACCTTTATACCCACTTCTACTTTTAATGATAAGCCATAGACTTCTATTTTCATTGCCAGCACGAAAAATCCCCCCGTATCACCCCGTCCTTTTAAGCGAGTAACTCTTACTCTCTATTAACGTACTTTCGACATCTGGGAAATGTTCTACCCATTCTGACTAAACTCAGTCTGGCACAGTCGTTGCTTCTAACTGGGCTGGACTGTACAGGTGCTATCTAGGTTAGCGCAGAGTCTACAGTCTACTCAAAAAGTGGAACGGTTGCAAAATCCTTGCATTAGTTTAATTTTTGGGTTGTGTAAATTATTTATTATTTTGTTATATTATTATTGTGTAAATTAAAACCGACTTCAAAAAAGGAGGAGCTTCTCAATTCGACTGTACGTTTTTTTTTATGTATGTTACGCGATAACTCCGGTATTTGTGAACCGATTTTCATGATTCTTTTTTTGTTGGAAAGACCAATTGGGTACCTCAGATGTGGTCCCATTTCATTTTGAAGAAAATCATCACGCATGAACATTCATTTTTATACATAGCGCCTAATGTGTTTTTTTATTATCCTGTCCCTCTTTTCTTTCTTCCATTGCTATAATTCATGTAAGTATCATCTGTGGATAGCATTGTTATTTATTTTTGTATGTGTAATATACGTGTTAATTTCGTATTTATGGTAATAAATCCGGCTGTTGTACCTCTTTTCTTTATGTATTTATTATTGTGTGCTAAAGCACACAAAAATAAATTAATACGAATACTACAAATAGCATTTGTAACGTAATGTAAATCACAAATCTTGATTTCTATCATTAATGGCTTTTATTTAACCTACACATTTCCAAAGGTAACTGGGTTTATAAACCAAGTGTTAAACTCGAATGTATAAAAATAAATAATCATATATCTACACATATTAGCAACACAGATGTTGTATCCATTCGGTTGTAAATAACATATGCAAACGACTTCCGTTCATTAGAACTGGTATATTATAATAGTTTTTAACCGACTTCAAAAAAAGGAGGAGGTTCTCAATTTGACTGTATGTTTTTTTTTGTATGTATGTTACGCGATAACTCCGGAATTTGTGAACCAATTTTCATGATTCTTTTTTGTTGTAAAGAGCGTACCTCCAAAGTGGTCCCATTTAATTTTGAAGAAAATCATCCACCTCTAAGGGTGGCTATTCACGCATGAAGATTCGTTCTTATAAATAGCGCCTAAATTTTAGTATAATGAGCAATTATTTTAATGGTCGATTTTGCTATTCTTTAATTCAAGGCGTTTTTCTCTCAATATACAATGAGTAGTGAGAACCGATTCTTATTATCTCCTGTGTCAAGTATAGTGGCGAACTAGGGGATGAATCCGGGTTTCAGTACTTTCCGGTAACCGGTTTCATTAAAACTTGGTAATTACCTTTATGTAATTCCACATACTTTTGAGGTAGGTTTTTTAGTACTCTGTACTGAGATTATACATATTTTAGTTTTAGAATCAGAGAATTTGCTGTAATATTATTTTGCAATTTTATTCTCGAGTTTTCTTGACATACCCGAGTTTTCATTATGTGATTTTCGTAATATATTCAAATCAATTTCAAATGTGTCATATATTTTATTATACTATTTTAATATAAGACATAATAAATAAAATAAAAGTTTAGTTACACTTTATACGAAATTATCAAATTGTGTATGTACAGTCTATGATACCTGACTCCTTAACCGACGTTTCTGGGTAGATACCTATCTACCCAGAAGCGAAAAAAAGTGTTAAACAAACTTAACCTTTAACCTATTTGCCGCAAAATTCATTTTAGCATGACTTTCTTATTGCATCATTAGTGAATGATATTTTAATATTTTTTTAAGCCAATTAAAAAATATAAAAAAGAAATTTAAAAATTTCAACCATAAATGCGTAAGAAGGCTCTCACAATCGAACTGCATCCGTACCGAATGGTTACCATGCTTGTCTGCCACGTAAAGATCCTGGGTTCGATTCCCAGGCCGGTAGAAACATTTGTATAGTGTAATGCGTCGACTACATATATGTGTATTTATATTGATGATATGGATATCTATGAATTGGATTTTAATATTTATTATATCGTAAAGTAAATATTTGATATTTTTATGCCAAATTCGAATAACACTAAACACGTTTTTGTTTGGAAATAACTCGTGTCCAGTAGTGGCATATTCATTACAGTAAAACGGAACCTAAATAAGTCCCCATAAAAGCTTTTATTAAATTTATTTATTTATAGCAATATAGGTAAAAATACTGAATATAGTTATTTTTCTACCTTTTTCGTCTCGTCGTCCTGTTTCCACTTAATGGTGGCAAGGCAGTACTGCCCTTCGATAGCAACACCATCTTCCGAATCGTCAATGCCAACGCATTCGTCGAAGTTCCCGAGGTGGTACGATGACCCGAAAAGGAGACCTTGTGGAGACTTCGCCGACGCGTCGAACACTGAGAACAAAACAAAAAGTATTTCATTAAATTTATAAAAACTTTGGAGTATAGTATTTATTACTCCACGAAGTCTGAATGGAGTATCATCAGATTAAAAGCCAAATACACCCTGAAGGCCGAGCGATCCCGCCACAACATGAATTTTAATTCGTTTGTGGTGAGAGTGCCAACCGAACATCTGTCGACCTTAATGAAGGAAGAGCTTTGGCCGAATGGTGTCATGGTGTCATATATCGGCGTCACACTTCACCGATAAGTGCAATTCGTGTAAATTAGTTATTTAATTTATTATATTGTATGTATGTGTCTTAAGGTTCAAAAGGTAAAGATCAGGGTGCGCGACAGCTCTTACAGCATACTGTACATGATCGCCCACAAAATTAACTGTGAATATATTAGCCACAGTAGCGCCATTTCAGGTGGGATGTAAATACACTATATATAGATATTAGTTTTATTAATTTTCAAATACTCATTAGCTTACGTCACTGAGACGTGGTCGCTCACTATGGGCCTCAAAAGAAGGCGCAAGGTCAAAGCAATGGAGAGGCCTACTCGAAATTTCACTGCGAGGTTGAATAAAAAAATAGGATATTCGCAAAAGAACCAGAGTAAATCTACAAAGCCCAAGAAACTTAAATGGCAGTGGGCGCTGCACATAGCTCACACAACAGATAACCGATGGGGTGAAAGAGAACTCGAATGAAGGTGGACCGATGACCTGGTGAAAGTTGCGCAAGACCGGTCGTTGTAGCGATCTTTGGGAGAGTCCTATGTTCAGCAGTGGACGTCTCTCGGTTGAAATGATGAGATGATGATGATGATAATGAACATTAGCTTATAAGATTGATTAAGAATAGCTTTTGAGAGAGAGAGAGAACAACAAAAGCTCATTTGGGATAGTACTTAACTATTTTCTATTATATTACCTTGGAGCCGGTTACAAATTCAAATCCCATGTTTTCGGATGTCATAACATTCGATCACGTGACACACGTATAACCTGATTTGCAATCAAGAGACAAAATGATCGTGGATTGCAACTGCCAAGTATCAAGATGCAAATCCGCAACAACAGACCCAAAGCTAGTTTTCTCATAAAATCGAGCTCAAAAGCTAAAACGGAGTAGTAAGTAGCAGTCCGCACCGGGAAACCATTATGTCAGTAAGGACGACGGCAAGGACTCTTGTTTTCCGCAAGCCAACCTTTGTTTCGCCACAAAGAGAGATTAATGGGTCGAATGTTAACTCTAAAGACCATTGTCTGATTTTGAACATGAAAAATCGAGAGATATGTGGTAAAATAATGTAGTGGTAAAAAAAAGGTAATGGTTACTATACCATCAAACGTATCATATTATACCCAAACGACTATTATTTATATCAATTTTGTATTGACATTGCCAATCGACAGACGGCTAAAGGTCAAAAATTTATAAAATAACAGCTTCAGATCATATCAAATATTTGAACATAACACAACAAACACGTCATTACCTAAAAATTGATTTTATCGTAGTTCTAATAATACTTGAGTGTATTATACGGAGCTATGCCGTATAACAAGACGGTAATAGCAATTTATATAGGGTGGCCCACGACTATGCCACACGGAAGAAAGTAGCTTAAGTATCGTAAATAGGAAATTTTACTGAAAGAAGACATTTTGATTTTAATAACAATTCGAACTGCATTCAAGATTTTAAATTTTTATTGAATTGATATTCAATTATTTTTTGTGAAATTACTCCACTAGATGGCGCTACGACTAAAAAGTCGTTGAAAAATACCAAATACAAAGACACAACGCAAGCACATAGAAAAATTCGTGAGATCCGCTGGTTCGTTCCGTGGCTTAGTTGGTATAGCGTCTGGCACGGTAAGCTAGAAGACGTCGGTTCGAATCCAGCCGGATCGAAGGATTTTTTTCTGAGTGTTAATAATTGCATTCAAAGATTTTTAAATAATCGCCTGTATAAACCGGGAATCGAAACCCGCCAAATGTGAAAAAAAATGTAATTTTACTATAGGTACTTATCGAAAGACATCAATTATAAGTTTTTTTCCAAATAACATAGCATCTTAAATAAAGGGAAGACTATGAAATTTAATTTGATATTTTGTTCAGGAAAATGAAATAGCCTTTCTCTGACTTTACCGCGCTCATAAGAACTGATATCCACCGCAGGGTTACGGACGTCAATTTGTTGACAAATTATTATTGAGGCTTTCGTTTATTTATACTTATTTCCTTAAAAAGTAAAATCTGTTCTGAATAAACTACGAGTATCACCTTCCATTTCGACGTCAATAAATACACTAAACTTCTGGAATAGGCGCATGCATGCAGTTGTACATATCAACTTCGCGCATGCAGCCCGTCTAGTAACTTAATACCAACTAATCTGTCATATGGTAGCTACACTGCCCAACTGCCTCCTGAGCCTCTCGATTTGAACACATTCCATCAACACCATGATAAACGTCATGTCTAAACGTCAAAAGTTATAGAATGATTTAAGACGTCTTTCCACCCCTCCCCACACATATTACATTCAGACTTATCAGTCAAGACAAGAGTGCATTGATTTGTGTCAGTACTCGGCAGAGAGGACGATACGGAGTTGCTATAATTGCCTTCAAAACATTGACCTACCAACAAACAAAACGATACATTTCTGTATAGGAATATCCCCAGAGTGCAACCACAGCTGCAACAAATTACCAATCCATGGAACTTCCAGTGGCTCAGGTTGAATGTAACGTCGTCACATAGGCGTCATTGCCCACAAGTCACATTCGATATCGTGAAACATGTAGCAGGAATGAAAATAAATTGCATTACCATTTGACAACTTCCCGGTTAGAAAACAAGTTCGCAAAATATTTCAAAACAAAGTATAGGGAAGTGATTTTAAAATTATAACGTAATCTTAGTCAACTTTGACAAGGTTGTTGACTATTTTGCATAATTACCATCATGTCTTCCGCAAGTTGTCAAATTTATATACATATATAAATGTAGCAACTAAATGATCGTAGGTACAGTAAGATCTTCCACAGGTACAGGAAAAGTGTAGTAATTGCATTGCGCCACGAGAAAAATCTGCGAGTAGATAAATTGTTCAATTAAGAATCATGAACAAACGGTCAAAGTTTTTAACGCAAGAATCGCGTCACTTGGCTTTAATTTCTTTTTTTTACTTTGAATGTTTTTGATGGAATTACAGAACTCTAGAGCCTACTTATAATAATTCTTCGAACAAAAATCTCTCCAACAAGAAGTAATCAACAAGCGGCGCCACGTTTCACAAGCGGATTATCGATCGAAGTTATGTTTTAAGTCTTATATAACGCAACTCTACAAATTTTTAATATGAACTGAAAAAAATACAGTAAAGATCATATTTTGTAGATCATGCCCCGTTGAATGAAAATATTTGTAAGTAGTAAAAATCATCGCAAACATTTCTTGCAAAACTTCTAAATTATTTTCCTACAGACTTGAGAAATAACATTATTCTTCTTCGCTTGAGTTGTTCGTGTAAAAGTCACTTTGACATTGTACCACTGAATTTATTTAGTTTATATTTCCGACTAGCTCTATTACTGTTGCTACAGAAAAATATTATCTAAAACTTTATTTAAACAACTACGTCTTTTTTCCCATAATATGCGAGACCACACACCAATTGACTGGTCTCAAACTAGAAATTTTCCTGTACCATGAGTAGAAATTTAGAAAAGTTCATTTTATCAGATTGGTCCTACAGGGAATTGAACTCGGGACCTCCACATCCAGCGTCCATAGCGCAAATTATTGAGCCTTCAAACTTCCGGTTAACTTTATTATATAGATTAAGCATTAGATTGACGACGGAATGAAACAAAATGATAATGACGAGGCAAAGGAATTAAAGAACGATTCAAAATTGAAAACAAGTGGCCAGGAACCAGAGAAAAAATGATAAAAGGTGGGATGACGATGGAAGGAGGTCGCATCGTCTCAGTACTCAGTGGAGAAAAAAACAAAGGTCTATTAAATTAAAAGTAAATTCTGTGGTGAGAAAAGTGAATATCCGAGTAGATTAAAAAAAACCAGCCCAAATGATAGCACCAGTATACTAGTCACGTAACCTCATGTTTTACAAACATTATTAAATCTGATTTTAGAATTATTTGGACGTTTATTTGGACAACGTTACATATGTTGCTCATCAGAGCAACATATGTAACGTTGTCGTTGTATGTAACGTTGTTGGGATCACCCAATACTAGTAAAAAAAGCACTTGTATTGTGGAAATCGCAAATAACGACATCGCGACTGTACCATAAACACTCAGACCCGGGACAATATAGAATAGTTAATTTTTATACATTGACCCGGGACAACTCAGGGCCTCAGAGATGGCGTCACCTTAAACACCGATATGCAAACCAAACCACTCGTCCACAAAGATCGTCAGATAATAAAACATAAATCAACAAATATCTTCTTCCTCCTCTTACAAGTGATATTCGAGATATTTGTATAAATAATAGAAAAACCGCGCGATATAACTTTTTCTAAAAATTGGTTTCAAAACCTTGTTCAATTTGCGAAGTTTCAGGAATTTTCAAAAGTAACAGAAAATTATACAAGGCAATCTGCCGCCTTTAGTTGAAAGGGTACGTGACGGAAACTCAAAACCGAGAAAACAGTGTTTAAAGATACAAAATTTGAAAATATTTACTTTTTTCTTGCAGTAACTTCACACCTTATCCACCTAAAAAGTTTAATATAAAAATAGGGACGGATCGGCCTTTTCGTGTTAATCATGGCAGTATACATAACAATTTGTTTTTTAAACGTCACATGCACTCTTTCAACTAACAGCGACAGCAATGTTAATTTTCGAAGACATTACGTATTAGAATCAATAAATTATGAAATCAATTTTAAGGAACATTTTTATACTATGTACATTTATTAATTTTTAGTAGCAATTCCTCTCTC